GACAAAGGTAGAAGGCAGGCTTGTCTGCCTTCAGGGACAGCCCTCTCAACCACCACCACCTTCGAATTCTACCAAATTTAAGTCCCATGGAAGGAGCTGGAGGTCTCCCAGGGGTCAGGGGCCAAGTACCCATGGCTCTGAAGACAACCTCTGGGCCCCCCGCCACCCCTGGAGGGGTCACAGGGTTGGAGGTGCATACATACAGGTGCAGACAACCAGGAGCCCACTCTAAGGCCACTGCCTCCAAAGCCACAGAGTGAAAGATACCTTTATGGGCCAGAATGAGATTTTTATCTTGGCGGTTTCTCTTTAAATTCTTTACGATTACGAAGCAGCGGGGGCTGCCAAGGAACATGATTTACTCCTTGAGCATGCACCAGCTCCTCACTCAGTGCCAAGGGAAGCTGGAGCCAGAGAGGGAGGGGCGGGCGTCATGCCAGGGAACCAGAGACAAGGCCTGTGCTGCTGAGGCCCAGCTAGTGGCGGTCCCGTTTGAGGCTTGGCTGGACCTGGAAGGACCACAGCTGAAGGCCCCCAGCCCTGAACTGGCTGACTCAGGCTGGGCCTGAGACAGGTTCTCAGCAAGTACCAGGACCTACTCCATTCTCTCCACACGCCAATTGCTGGCCAGCTGAGGGGCAGCCAGCCTCCAGGACCTCCCAACTCCCGAAGTGGCCACTTCCAAGTCCCCTCTCAGGAGTAAGGCAGTTCCCATTTCCTGGAAAACTGAGAGCCTAAATGCAGGAATCTGGGCTCAAGTTCACGCTTTGGGTCTTCCTACCTCCCTCCTCCTGGCTCATCTGGAATACCGGCCCCTCCCCAGTTTGCTAGCTCCAAATCCCACTGTAGCTATCAGAAACACCTGACCTCTACCCAGTTCCCTGGTGCCACCTCTGGCCTCTCCCCAACACCTCCTCTTCTGTGTTCTGAATCTTCTAGCCTCCTTTGGCTGGCCAGGGAGCCCCTGGGGAGGCAAGGGCACATCCCCCACTCCTCACTGTGCAGTCAGGCCTGGGGGTGGGGCAATGCTCCATCAGGGCTAAAGGCACTTCCACTTGAACCCATATTCACCCACTCTTCATCCCCCCCTTGGGTGAAGTAAACGGGCTATGACCTCTCCTAACCTCCAATCTCATCATTTCCTAACAAGGAGACCTGGCCACTCTGGTTCTCTGATGCCACATGCAGATGACGTAAGTAGTGGCACTATTCTGGGCCATTAGCCCCAGAGGCTCAGAGGCTGGGCTGGGGTGGGTGCATAGGCAGTGACCAGCACCTACCCACTCACCCTCCACCTACAGAGTGTCGTTCCCCACAGAGCAAGCCAGTTATGCCTGGAATTAGAGAAGATCCAAACTCCAGGGCTACTCTGAACACAGGAGCCCTTTCCTCTCCTGGACCCTTGTTTTCCTTCTCCAAAAGGAGACAGCTTCCTAGGGGACTCTGATCAGTAGTGGACTGGGATGACGGAGGGCTGGATTTACAGGAAATAAGCAAACCCAAGTGTTGTTGCTTCTGTAAGCAGAGGGTATGAGAAGCCTGCCCAGTGCAACCTCAACCCTCTCCTTAGGAAATGAGGCTGGGAAGGCTAAGGCCAGCACTGCAGGATCCTGGAGCCCTGTCCCTAGCTCATGGAAGAGGGCTATACCTGCTTCCCCCAATCCACCCTTCACTCTCTCGGTCCTGAGACAAGCTCAGACATCAGACAGAGCCAGGCTCTGCTGTTGCTGAGTGACAGGAAACCTCACAGAAAACCCATGGAGAGCCCTCTCAGGCCTTGGAGACACCACCACATGGTTATCATCATGGGTACCTACTGTTACTTCTATTATTTTCATCTTTCCTGACTCTTCTGCTCTATCTCCCTACTCCTGCCTTGGTTTCCCCAGTAGCCCAGCCACCTCATGTCATCACAGGAAGGACCCTTTTCCTCCACCAAACACCTCTTGGCCCCCGTGTCCTGGCCAAAGCCAGCCCAGGCAGCAGGCAGCTGCATATTGTGGGGGTGGCTTCCTGGGATAAAGTAAACATTCCCCAAGCTGAACAAAGGACCTGGCAGGGCACTCACACCTCCCTGCTGCAGAGGGAGGTGGTGCCCCCTGGCTTGGGTCATCTCAGGATGGGGGAAGGGAAAGCTTTTTCTCCTAGGCTTGGCCAGGGACTCTGGGGTTAAGGGGACTCCAGACAAGGATGGGTGGAGGAAAGGGTCCTGCTGTCCAGGCTCTCTGGTCCCAAGCATCCATGAGCTCTCAGAGGACACCTCATCTCTCCTGGAAATCTTCCCCACTTGACCCCTCACTTCTGCCTGACCTTGGCTGTGTTGCTAATGGAAGCTCAGGAGATGGGCCATAGAAGCCCCCCCTACCTGGACTCTAACTGAACCTTGGGCCCCTTCTCCCTTACACTTTCTCAGCTTTTGGCCTGGCTGGGGTGCCCAGGCAAATGCACAGGCAGCAAGCCCAAGGCTGGTCCAGTTCCTGCCTTTGTTCCTTTAGCTGCCCTGGGCAGTGTGGCCCCTCATGCCAGCACCTCCGGCTCGGGAGGGTCTGGCCCAACCAGGCCGGAACTAGCACCTCCCAACTGCAGCAAGACCAAGGGCG